TTACTCTTAGTATTAGCATTAAGTATGTGTATTGATGTTAATAGTAGTAGTCGTCGTACTAGCAATAGTTGTCGCACAGCAGTAGTAGTGGTAGCATTAGTATTGGTATTAGTATTAGTATGAGTATTAGTATTAGTATTAGTGACTAGTATGAGTATCAGTATTAGTTTTAGTATTAAGTATGTGTACTAGTAGTAGTAGTAGTAGTCGTAGTAGTAGCAGTAGTAGTAGCAGCAGTAGTGGTGACATTAGTATTGGTATGAGTATGAGTATTCGAATTAGTAGCTAGTATTAGTACTAGTATTAGTGTTAGGATTAATATGTATTGTTCTTGGTTCTATTCTTAGTACTGCTGTCATTGTTTGTAGTAGTCCTAATCCTGGTATCAGTGTTCATATGAGTAATAGTTTTGTGGTAGTATTGATATTAGGATGGGTATTGCTTTAGTACTAGTATTGGTATTGGTATTTAGTATTAGTATTAGCATCAGTATTAGTATTAGTATTGAATAAAAGTATACATATCAATAATAGTAAATATGAACTCGTGATTATGTTCGTGCTGGTGTTAGTGCCAGTGTCGATGTCAATGTCAGTAATAGTACTCGTGTTAGTATTAGTATCAGTCTGAATGCTGGTTTTAGTATCTGTTTATTATTCACAGAAGTGCTGGTATTAGTATCAGTATTAGAAATAGTTTTGATATGTGAATATACTGATTGATTCGTACATTTTGAGCTTAATATAATAATACAGTAATGTATTCGAACAATAGTATATTTGCAGAGTTGAAGATTGCGCGAATATATTAGTACGTTGGTGCATGAGTACATTAGTATATTGGTGTATCATGATATTCGTATGTTAACGTAGTAGTATATTAGTATATTATTATAGTGGTCTATTACTACATTTACTATATTCGTATTTTCCCTAATAGCTTATAGGTATATCAATATGTTGGCATAATGGCATGTGAACATGTCAGTGTACTTGCCTTTTACAGTATTCGTATATTAGTACACTAGCATATTTAGTGATAATTAGTGTTAATGCCAGTGCCAATGTCGATGTCAGTTTTAATCAGTCTTAATGATGAATTTAACATCAGTGTAATATTCGCGGACGTGCTAGTATGCGTATCAATACTATAATTAGTTTTGATATATTAGTATACTTATAGACTATATAAACAGCTTAGTATACCAACACATTATTATGTATTCGAACAGTAATATGTTTGTATACCTGTATGTTTGTATGCTCTTAGTATATTAATGCATGCGTACATTCGTGCATGAGTACATTAGTATATTGGTGTGCTATTATCTTCGATTATTAACATATTAGTGTATGAGTATCCTGGTATGCTACTTCGTTTATCATATTCGTATATTATCTAACAAATTTTTTGGTATATCCATATGTTAGTATACCATTGCCATGTGTCAGTGTACTTGCATATTACAGTATTCGTGTCTTAGCAAGTTAGCATATCAATACAGTATAATCAGACGTTAACAAGTAGTATATTGTCACGTTGGAAACTGGGTATATGACAAATTAAATACGAATATACTACGTTAGTACACGAATGCATTGATATATTTGCTTTTCAGATAGTGGTATGTATATCTGCGGACATTAGTATACGCAGGTGTCTGTTAGTATTGGCATTAATATCAATATGAATATGACTATTGGTAGGCGTAGGGCGTAGGAGTATTAATGTTAATAATAGAATTAGTAATGTGCATATTCGTAATAAAAGCATTAATATACATGTCAACGTTAGTGTTAAAAGCACTACACAGTAATCTTACTTGAGTCATATATAGAGCAGGTTCCAGCATTTCCAAAATTTCCAAAATTCTCTCCCCTAACTTTCCGGATTTCCAAAATTTCCAAAATTTCCAAACTTTCCAAAATTTCCAAAATTTCCAAAAAGTCCGCCCTTATGTTTTGAAAAAATCCTGTCGACTAGGTCGGGAAATTTTGGAAATTTTGGGAATTTTGGAAATTTTGGAAATCCGGAAAGTTAGGGGAGAGAATTTTGGAAATTTTGGAAATGCTGGAATCTGCTCTATATATGACTCAAGTAAGATTACTGTGTAGTGCTTACTATGTAGTGTGTCAGCACAACCCTCAACCATACACGTGTGCTCTGTAATTCCTTTCTTGGTAGGACACCCGCGCGCCTTATCGTGCTGCTTTCTGGTCTCAGTCTTTTGGTGGTTCCAGGGATACGTTCGGAGGGCTCGAACTCGATACTCCGGAAAAAGCACGAACACGCCGGTGGGAGCGATGTTTTAAAGGGGATGGTCTGTCATGGGGGGGGGGGGTGACCATATATATATATATATGTACACATTGTGTGTATATATATATATATATATATGTGTACATACTGCCATTATGGAATTTGGCCTCAAAAGACCATCCTAATGATGGTTTTGGGGGGCCTCACTCAATGAAAATAGTATATATGGAGCCTCTGACTCAATTGTATTCCGACGTTTTCAAGCGCCGGGCGAGTTGAGGCTAGGATTCAGCATTTCGGGTTCAGGGTCTGGGGTTGAGGGTTTAGGGTTTAGGGCATGGGGTATGTGGTTTAGGGTTGAGGGTGTTGTACGGAGTGGCAGAATTCTGCGAGCTGGGAGGTCTGTGAGTCAGGATCAGCATCGATGTGTTGGGGTGCACTGGCCGGTTTATTTTGGAGGCCTTCTTAATAGCCGATACAATTTTGGGGGTTCCTTATTATAGTTATATCATAATGGGCCACAAACCATATTCTAATCATTAAGGCCCCTGTATTATGTCGCTTCCTGCGCCTGTTCGGTGCAGATCGAAATGTGCCGAGGCCGCATTCGAAAACTCCGGGAGTTTAATTCTTGCACATGTTCAATTTTGGGGGGTCCTGAACCCTAAACCCATAACCCTATGTGCTAAAGCCTGAGCCACCTACCTAAGCCCTCCTAAAGCCCAACCCCGAGAAAACCTTATACTATCCTTGTAGTAACCCTTATAGATCCCTTCAAGGAACCCTTATAAACCCTGTAAGTCTGGGTCGCGGAGCAGGGTGCCTTTGGCGAGATCGTGGAGTTTCCCTTTCAAACGGATGTTTAGGGTTTACAGGGTTAATTTGCGGTTCACAAACGTCCCTAGAGACCTGAGCCTTCGATGCTTCGGATATGTTTTGTGGTTTAGGGTTTTGAAATCGGGGTTCTGGAAAGGTTTTCTTAATGCCGTGTAAGAGGCGTGCGTGCTGCATGGATATGATGTTCCTATTTTGTTTATCCAGTTCTCACTGCGAGCGTTGGTTGTAGAGACTGTGTTGGTCTCGATGTTTTGTGCAGCTAAGAATCAACAAATTTTGCTGCATCGAATCTGAAAGACAAACCCCCCATATGGCCCCAAACCCTAAACCCCACCCTTAATGATCTCAAAAGCATCCAACATATGGCCCTAAACCACAAGAAAGCCTTTCAACCCTAAACCCTGGAAGCCCTTAAGCCTTAAACCCTCAACCCAAAACCCTAAACCCCTAAACCCCTAAACCCCTAAACCCTAAACCTTGAAAGCCCTTAAGGCCTAGCAACTCCAGCAGTGCAGGTAAAGTTCGAGGGCCGACACGTTGCAGACAACCAGGCTGGCAGATGGCCCGGAGACTCCAAAGGTTTGATTTAGGGCCTGGGGTTTTAGAGCTTTAGAGCTCTAGGATACGAGGTTTCAGGGTTTGGGGCTTTAGTGTTTTAGGGTTCAGGGTCTTAGGAACGAGTAAGTTTAGGGTTTCAGGATTGAGGATTCGGGGTGTACGGTTTTAGGGTTTAGTGTTTCAGGATTTGGGATTTAGGGTTTAAGGCTTCAGGATCTAGGAGATAAGGCCCGGCCCATTGGGAGATAGACGATTTGGGTTGGGGTGAGGGCGTTTCAGGTTTGATGGGGGTCTTTGTGGCTCGGCTCTCTATAGTTCATAAGGCTTTTCCAAGGTTGCGGACTTCCTGACACGGGGCGGAGTATACTCCAACGATAATCATAGTTGTTCTATCAAATAACCGTCATCACCAGCTTCATCCATATCCTCATCAGCGCCATCAACATCATCATCATCACTGTCATCATCATCGTCACCATCATCACCATCATCACCATCATCACCATCAACACCATCATCACCATCACCATCATCACCATCATCACCATCATCATCACCACCATCGTCATCATCATCGCCACTACCGTCATGTAGTTTATTAAAAGTAAGTACAGGCACTGTGTTTACAGCAGCTTCAATACCAATGAAAGTGCTGACTGCTGACATGTAACCGAAGAGGCAGAATGACTTCAATGCACAAACACCTCTAAACAGAACTGTGCTGATGGCTTGGCTTCAGTGTCGTGGATGGGATCATTATGCTGGTGTGCTTTGTGCCGACAGCATGGATGGTGAGATTGCTTGTAGATTGTAGACAAACGTCGGAGGCCTCAAAAGGTGGGATGAAGGTAGGTAGGATGAAGGATCACTGTCTTTGAAGACTCTTGATTGGGAATATCCCACCTACCTTCATCGCATCTTAAAACCACCAGGCCTTGCTCCCTGCCCCTGAGGTTCTCAACCCCCAAACCCCACCAAGGTCAGGGTCCTCAATCCCCATGCCATCCCAACCACCTAAAACCATAAAGTCACCAACCCTTAACCTCATCCCCACTGCAGCATCCCCTCAAGCCTAATCCCTGGAATCCGAAGTGTACTATAGCGGCCTTAATAATTGCCAATACTATTTTAGGGGCTCCTTATCATAATTATAGTATAACATACCCCAATATATCATAGTACCCTTATAGATTCCTTGTAGTAACCCCTATAGATCTTTTTAAAGGAACCCTATTCTAATTATTAGGCCCCTACGTTCGCAGGAACCCTAAACCCTAAACCCTAAACCCTAAGCCCTAAACCCCTATATTTGCAGTCCGCAGGTCACTGCACATGGCTATGCTGACATGATCGGGCCGCTGGATGCAGGGACCTATCAGCCCCATGGCTGCGCGAGGGTCGGGTTTGGTTCAGGGTTGGATGGGGTTTTGGGCTTTGGTTCAGGGGCTTTTTGGGGTTTTAGGGTTTTGCGGCGTTTATGGTTTTGGGTGTTGAGGGTTTCAAAGTTTGGGATTTCGTGTTTTTTAGGTTGAGGGTTGAAAGTTATGCTCAACAGGGCTTGGTTTCTGAAGGCCAAGGTCTGGTCTTGGCCGATCCTTCTGTTCTTGAGCCGCATTTCTTTCACCGCTTCAGGTTCCGATGCATCAGCTCCCTGACGACCCCTAAACTTGCAACCCTAATTCCTAAACCCCTCAAAACCCGTGAAGGAGCCCTTAACGGAACCCGCAGACCTCAAAGGAGCTCAAAACAACCCTAAAAGCCGCTTGACAGTCTGTGAAATTTGATCAGGCAGAGGGCTCAGGGTTTAGGCTTTAGGGCTTCTGGTTTTAGGGCTTTGGGTTTAGGGCTTAGGCACATGGGTGGGCGGGTGGGTGGATGGATGATGGATGGTCGGGCATCAAGACGGATGCACGGATGGACCGGCGGATGCATGGATGGCTTAAATGGATAACTGAATATGGACAGAAAAAGAACTATGCTATGCCTGCAAACAGACAATGTAAGCAAACAAGCAGGTAAACACATGTCATATATGAATACACATACGCAGGCATATGCGCATGTACAGGCACATGTATATCCTAATGCACATAGCTAGGTAAATAAAGAGCTGAATAAAGGTTGTAAAAATATCTGCATACGTACATACATTATCTGCAAACTGGTGGTCGAAGTACCAGTGTGTCTGCATATTTCCGTGTTAGGTATGTACACACACACGCCCCTATAAGCTTGTACGGTTATATGTTTTCAACTTAGATTGAAGTGCTCTGAGAAATTCATCCTTCCAGTGCAAGCACCACTGCTTTAAGTTGTATCCTACCCTAGGCCGCGCAAATGTACGGGGTCCTACCAGGCGGTTTCGAACTGCAAGCTTGAGGTTTCACTGTTACGATTGTGGGTTGTGCGGCTGCTTCGGCTCGTGAAGATAGGGCAGTTTCCGAAAATTAGGGTAACTCATTTTGGGGTCCTGATAATAAGGATCCCTTGGGTACGGCCCCCACTCAGTAATAGTTGAACAATATTCATAATATGGATATAGTAGGACCCTATTTTCGGAAATCCCCACAGGGACTTCGGGCTCAGCAATTGAAGTTGAGAGCCCCGACACGTCTTACGGTTTAGGGTTTAGGGTTTAGGGGTTTAGGGGTTAGGGTTTAGGGGTTTAGGGTTTAGGGTTTAGGGGTTTAGGGGTTTAGGGTTGAGGGTTTAGGGTTTAGGGGTTTAGGGTTTAGGGTTTAGAGTTCTACATCCTTGGGCGATTGCAATCGCGTGCACGGGTCCTGGAGGCATGTGCTGGCACATGGGATTACACCTGCATGATCTGCATGTCGACCGAAATGCCCATGTACATATCCGCGCACCAAATGGGAGTTTCCGAAAATAGGGGACCCTAATATAGTACCCTAAATAGTAGGATCCTTGTTATAAGGACACCAAATAAGGTACCCCTTGTTTTCGGAAACTCCCAAATCACAAACAACAACAAACACATGCACACACCGCCTGTCGCCACTATCTTTCATAGAGGCATCTCTCCATTATACTGCTTCGCACCCTTTTCCAAGGCTCATTGAACCCTGGACCCTAAACCCCTAAAACTCCTACACCCTAAACCCCTAACCCCAAGCCCTAAAACCCTGAACTCCTACACCCTAAAACCCTAACCCCAAGCCCTAAACCCTAAACTCCTACACCCTAAAACCCTAACCCCAAGCCCAAAACCCTAAACCCCGAACCCCCTTCCCAGGCTCATGATGTACTACATCGCAGGGGCCGGCTCGACGGGGTGCCCAGTTGGACGAATCTGCATCGCGAAGGTGGGTTCTAGACGATTTTTGGGTTTGGGGTTGTTTAGGGTTTGGGGTTGAGGGTTTTGGGGGTTCAGGGTTTTTGGGTTCAGGGTGTGTAGTTTTTAGGGTTTTGGGTGCTTAGGGTTTTGTTGGGTTTCGGGTTTTTTGGGTGTTTGGGCTTAGGGCTTCTGGGGTTTAGGGTTTTTGGGTTGAGGGTTTTTGGGTTTAGAGGCTCAGGGTTTAGGCTTCAGGGTTTGGGGCTGCATCAGGGTTTAGGGTTTAGGTGTAAGAGTTCATCCATGGGTGTTCTACGCCTAAATCCTGTGTTTAACGCTCTGAGGCCCAATAAAACAAGCCCGCCCATAAGCCTTGAACCCTGGGTGAAAGCTACTTAGACCCAAAGGTCTAAGTCCCAGCAAACCTGTAGCCCAGACACCCTAACCCTAAACCTCATAATTACCCTAAACCCAAGACCCTAAACCCTAAACCCCAAGCCCTAAGCCCCAAACCCAAAACCCTAAACCTTGAACCCAAAACCTTAAACCCTAAACCCAAAGCCCTGCATGGGGAGGGTCTCAGGCCTTCGCCGTTTCAGCTCTGTTCGAACTCCTTGGTGGACCTGCGGCTCATCTCCAAAGCCACGTGCGCCTTTTCAGTCAGGGTTTGGGACTTAAGGGTTTAGGGTTTAGGGGCTTATATATATATATATATATATAGATAGATAGATCGATAGATAGATAGATAGGGTTTAGGGGTTTAGGGTTTAGGATTTTTTGGGGGGCTTGGTGCGGAGGGTGTTGTTGTAAAAAGTCTAGCGGTGACTGTATATGGCCTTGAGGGGTTTGGGTGTAAGCATAAGATTAATACGGGGGCCTTAATAGTTAGAATAGGATTTGGGGGAAAGTTATATCACAAACATCATAAGGAATCCCCGAAACCCTATTTACATTACGGGTTTAGTCAGGCTTCGACTCGCTTCGACTGGGTGTGTAGGGCTGAGGGTGCTGCCAAGTCGCAGCCACGGTGTTGTTGCGAAGGCCTTTAAAGGGATCCTTAAAGGGTTCTATAAGGGATCTAGAACAGGGCCCTATATTAGGGGCCTTAAAACAATTAGAGATCTTCCAGGCCGTATTTTTGGATTTGGTTCCTTGGAAGGTTCACCGGCCGACATTGCAGGCTTCCATGAAGCTGATGGCTTACCAACACTGTGGTCAGTTCGATTAAGCCGAAAAAAGAAATGAAGGATGCAGCACCTACCCTTATCTGCATCGTTGGCACCCTTATTATCACCATCGCTAAGATACTTACTCTATCATTTTGTCATCGTGTTTGAGGCGCCCCTCCTCCTCCTCCTTCTGCTGCTGCTCCTTCTCCTCCTCCTGCTCGTCCCCTAAACCCTAAACCCTAAACCCTAAACCCTAAACCCTACCCCGAAATCCTGAACCCTAACCTCGGCTCCTAGCTGCGCCAGAAGATCCCGGAGGTACGCCAACAAGACTGAGGAGTGGATGTGCACGTGGGAAGCTGAAGCGATTCCGTGTGAAGGTTTAGGGTTCAGGGAGATTCGGGCTCATGATGTAGGAACCTGATTAAGAGATCCTGCGTCTTTAACCCCAACATAGCAGGATTGGTATAAAAGGAACCCTATAAAGGCCCAAGGTTTCTTAATCAGGATTTTACATTCGGGGTTAGGGAGTGAAAATGACCTCCGACGAGCTTGCTGGCGCAGTTCCGATGGAATCTCAAGTCGTGGTGGCCGCTAGCTGTCTGATGGGTTTAGCGAGTCAACAAATGATGCGAAAAGGCTAGGATACAATTAGTTTGAGGATATGCCTATTTTGGGTTATGGCGCCACCCCACCAACCTAAATATCTGTCCTAAGCAAACATTTCATTTCCCAATACCCGTATCTATCCAAGTGCCATAGCTCAACGTAGGCAAGGGGTTCCTTGCAGAATTTGGTTCAATGTTTGGGGTTGTTAAACCAAGCTTAATCTTTTCGGATTCTCCAAGAATGCTGTAACTACGATGTAATTGTAAAATATACTATTGTATACCCGCTTATGTATTAGAATTGCATCATAGCGTCACTGTATAAGAAGAATTAACTTGTTTGTTCTGGTTTGTCATCAACAGGTATCTCAATCATTACTCTGTCCTTGTGTTTACCAAATAACAAAAAGTAGGTCTCCAGAAACTGATCATTCATCAACAAATGTCTGACCGAGTCAAACACTTGTTGTATTTCAGGCTTTTTATCTACTACTTTGGTGTTCTTGTAGTCTTTCCTGTTTGCTTTGCAATTTATACAGCTGCGCCAAGGTTGACCCAATCTATTAAACCCGAACTCTTCAGCATTTTGTTTACTGTGGCATCTTGTGCAATTCATTGCCTCCATCTTATCAATATTGATAGCACTATCTCTTCAAACTGCTTTCATCTAAACATTCAGAACATGCCAAGGTGTATTTAGCATTGTAAGAGTGTTTATCCACACAGTATATTCGATTAAAAGAACTGATATCTTTGACTTGCTTGCACCGATAACACTTGCGAGTAAAGCTAGCATCGGGTTCAAAAGGTGCACCAAACTCAACTAATATCTCATTCACTTTTATTGGCACTGTTAATACTACACGTTAGAGTATTGTTATTAATACATTGATTGATATCAAGATTTTCGCCTTAAGGTTTAGCGAATAATGTCATTTCCACACTCTTCTGACGTGCTTATGAATCTGTTCATCACACGCAGGAGCAATGGGACTTGATCTTCTTCTGATGTTTGGGCAGGGGAACTTTACGCTGTCAAGTTGCCCTAGAAACTTTCATTCATATACTAACCCATCATACTTAAGTTATTCTTCAAACAGTTGCAGCTTTGTCTATCCTTTCAACATCCTCCTCCACTTTTTCTAATCTCTCTTCTGGAATGGGCGTTCGCGATCCCCACCCAGTGGTCACCGTATCAACACCTTCATTATCTTGTGAGTTCGTTTTAAATATGTCGTTCTCATCGGGGGTGATTCCTCTACCCATCTTCCAACGGCTTCTATCTTCAATTATTGTTTTACCTTCATTGTTTATCTTAGTTTCTTTGTGAAGAGTATTTATTCCACATTTACAAGGTAAACCGTTTATCCCACCTGTGTTAAGCGGAAGCCACCTTCGTTTGATTCTTTCTGACTTTCACTCATCAAGCGTTCTTGGATTTTTTGAATGCTCAAGAACTGCCGTCACCAATTCTAAATAAGCGGCGCAACACCTTTTAAGCTTGGTACCTTTGTATGATAACCTTCTCTACTTCTTCAATCTCCTCTATCGTTTCTACTAGGGTTGGAGGTGAGATCTTCAGATAGATGTTTATCCTAGGGTTGGAGGTGAAATCTTGAGATGGATTTCTTCCCAGGGTGGGGGTTGGGTGGTGTCATATGCCTAAATAGGCAAGGTATCATCTAACTCTATAAGTCTATAAGGGTACTCTAGACTACGATAATTAAGTATAGAGGTAGGAATCCGGAGCTGTGAGTCGCCTGCTAAGTAGTTTCATGCTCCCGAACTGCATGGCCTGTTCTGGATCAAAGAGAGCCAGCAATTTCGTAGGGTTGAGTCTGCCATTGCGTGCGTGTCCATGGAGTTCGGCAATCCCGGGTGGGTTAACCCGCTTAGTGCCGGGGGGGTGCCACAAGATGGCCCTCCCCCCGCTGGCTTCGGAGGTGTGCAGAAGGATGAAATCTGGGGGCGTCCGCCCACTGGCTTTGGGGGCGTGCCGAAAGATGACATTTGGGGCCATCCCAAGCCCGGTGGATTTGGGGGGACTCCAGTTGATGCTCCAGCAGGGGATGGCGGCCTCAACCCATACCAGCAGCAGTATGCCCAGGATGCGAAGTCTCGCATGGACAGCTTTGCCTTCCAGACGGGCCCGAGCCCTGCCGCTCCGCCCTTGCAGGCGCAACCTCCAAACCCAATGCCTAGTTTTCAACATGGATTCGCCCAGCCACAAGCTCCCATGCAAGGAGCGATGGACCACAGCGGGATGCGGCTGCAGCCAATGCCCGAATCCCGTGCATTTGCAGCGCCGGGAGGCAGTGCCCCCCACAGCTTCAATGATCCAGCACATGTGCGGCCTGGCATGCAACAGCCCCCCCAACACAGCCTCAATGATCCAAATGTGCAGCCTGCCTTTGCAGCGCAGGAAGGCAGTGCTCCCCACAGCTTCAATGATGCAGAACATGTGCGGCCTGGCATGCAACTGCCCCCCCAACACAGCTGGCCACAGACTCCACCGACTTTTTCCAACCAGTTTGCCCGCCAGCAAAACGGGCCCCCAGAACCACGAGGTCAAGCGTGCCAGAGTCTGCCAACAGCACAGAACGGACAAGGCCGATTCCCTCCCGCACAGGACCTCTTCGGAGCGAGTTCAGCCGGACAGATGGGAGCCCCACCTCCAAATCAGGACCTCTTCGGAGCGAGCGGGAGCCCTAAACCCTAAACCCTATAAATAAACCCTATAAACCCTATAAGCCCTAAACCCCAAACCCTAAACCGTGCAACGCAGGACCTCTTCGGACAGACGGGAGGCGCTCCTCCGGACCTCTTCGGAGCTCCTTCCTTAGCACCCGGACAGATGGGAGCTCCTTTTCAAAACCCAACGGGAGCACCCCAGGAGACACGGCAATGCACCTGCGGACAGACAATTACACTGCTCACCGTGCGCAAGGAAGGCCCAAACCTTGGCCGCACGTTCTGGAAATGTCAAAGCTGTGGCTTCTTCCAGTTCTCGGACGCGCCTCGGCATTCCTAGGTCCTAGTCAAGGTAGTAATCCCTTCACCCTAAGATTAAAGGCTCCTTCCATTGGAAACTCGGAAAGTGCTTTTATTTTCAGGGTGTAATTCTATCTCTGCTGCCACTTTTGAGGGGTCATGCTCTTGCTCCTGCTCTGGCTCTTGCTCCCTCGCTGGCTTTTGCTCCCGCACTGGCTTTTGCTCCTTCTTCTGCTGCGTCTCTTGTGCCTGCTCTTGCTCTTCCTGTTGGTCCTGCTTTTGCTCCTGCTTTGGCTCTTACTCTCGCTCTTGCTTTTGCTTTGCTCTTGGTGGATGCTCCCGCTTTTGCTCTTGCTCTTGCTCTTGCTCTTGCTGTTGCTCTCGCTCTCACTGTACTCTGAGGGTATTTGGAGCCTCGAAACCTCCCCCTAATTCAGAACAGGTTTCAAAGGGCGGGGATGATTTCGAGAGGATTCGCCCCAATGTGTTTTTATGATGGGGCGTGTTTAATGAAGGGCGGAACGGATTATACGGCTCTTAAGTACGGACTCGAAACCAAAATACGCGTAGCAAGTACAGCAACCATCCTGTTCCCACTATTTAGGAAGACCCCGTGACGGCGAATGTAATGAGTACGGGTTTCAGCACGGCCGCTGGGAAAGCCAAACATTGCAACATGCACGTCTGAAGTACGGACTTGTACCCCAAAGCAAGTACCAAGTACGGACTGCCTTCCCTCCCCGCTAATTGCTCTGTAAGACCTTGTTGGAGCAAAATAAGCATGTGAAGTACGGCCGACCAGAACGACGCCGCCAAGGCAATTCACTCACTGCCACGATCCTGCAGTTAGTTCAGTACTGGTATTGGCTGAAGTGCCTCCAATCGCCTCCGTATTATTGCCAGCACCCCTGTATTCCCTCGACATCGGTCTTCCTGTAAAAATGTCGTTGTACACGCCCTAATGTTGTTTCCGAGTTGTTCCGTCGCACAAGCTCTGCAAATCCCGAGAAAACTTCTTGGCGGACCGTTACACTCCCCGAATAGCCTTCTTCGGGCGGATTGGAAACCCTTCGCAAGCCTCAACTAACTCGCAAGCCCTAAATCCAGAAAAGCCCTAAACTCTAAACCCTATAAAACCACAAAAAACCCGGAAACCTAAACACCCTAGACCAAAACGCACCCTAGACGTGCTGAACTAAAAGCCTTAAGTCTCAAATCCAAGGAGCCACCGCGGGGACCACAGCAAGCGGGAGCTCCTGGGCAAGCGCCAGCTGTCGCAGATGGGCCGCCGTGCCTTTGTGGCCAGCCGTACCCTGGTGCTTTTTAGGGTTTCTGGTGCCTTTTTAGGGTTTAGGGTTGTAGGGTTTAGTGTTGTAGGGTTTAGGGTTTTAGGGTTCAGGGATTTCGGGTTTAGGGTTAGTGTTTAGGGTTATCTTTTTTCATAAGGGGCTGGGGGCTGTATAGGCTTTTATAGTAGGGTTCTATCCAGGTTTCGGGTCTCGGGTGTAGGGGGTTAGGGTTTAGAGTCAAGTTTAGAGTTTAGTTTTCGTTTCGCGGTGGTTTTGAAGGGTTTTATAGGGCCCCTAACCCTAAACCCGATCCCTCTCCTGAGTTGTTGTTCAGGAATTTGAATTAAATTACCATACAAGGGAAGCCATACTAGCTATAAGACCGGGCACGGCCTTGACGAGTATGTGGTGCCGGCTCCGCCTGACATCACACAGAGTCCCGAGACTTTGGCATTCGCTGCCA